GCTCATAGACACCAAAATTCCCTTGGAACTGAATACCTGGAATCAAATTGATCTTGTATGGATGTCTGCTACGTCTTCTCTGGAAGTTTATGTTATTTACGGCTCTGGTTCAACGATGGTGAAGGCAGTCCGTGCCTCGTCGGAGACATTCGCAAGCAGCGGGAAGTTTATACTTGGCTCCGCTAGCAAAGACCTGCAAGATATGTACAACCTTCATGAAGGATTTACTGGATACATCGACGAAGTTCGAATCTGGAGACGACCACATAATCCGACAATCATCACCCGAAACTGGCGGATGCAAGTTTCTCGTACAACACCAGGTCTAAACATGTCTTGGAATTTCAACAAAATGGATGATCTTTTTGCCAAAGACTCACAACAAGGAATCATAATGTATCCTATGCAATTAGCACATGTTCCAACATGGCGACCAAGTACGTTACCGTTAAGAAAGGAGCCAAAGATCGATATTGTTACTGGACCCGTCACTGCTGCGAACAATTCATTGGTAAGAGAAGCTAGTAGGCTTTGTAGTTCGATTTTCAAAGACGCTTTGATGAAATACTGTCTTGTCCTCGGCGAGGATTTGTTAAAGTCTTATCAACATGAGTGCATCAACGATGTTGTGGCCACTCAAAACCCGACAAAGTCTGCAAGAACAGCACTAATGTTCGCCAAAGAATGCCAAGCTTCCGTCAACTCTAGCAAGAAAGACCCAGTGGAAACTGTTTGCAAAAACCTTGAATCCCAAAATATCGTTCTCGCGTCTCCGGACTGCCAAAAGAACTGCTTGTTTGGTGCTCAGAATACTAGTGGCTCTTGCGTATGTTCTGAAGGATTTTTCGGTAAGAGATGTGACGAGGTGTGCCCAACTGCTGCAGGGGGTGTTTGCAATTTGAAAGGTATCTGTAGTTCAACAACGAAGTCTTGCGAATGTTCATCTCACTGGTTGGGCATGTCCCACGATTTGATTTCTTACTGGAGTGGTTTTCTAAGCAACAGTACAACCTATCCATGTGATATTTGTTCGTACGGATGGGTTGGTAAGGATTGTGGTATTTTGCAGATTGACAGTATGAACAATGAAACAACCAAGAAAAGAGTTGCTATCGTATCTGGGCCGAATGTTATAACATTTGACGGTGTGGCTTACAGAATGAATTCTGTTGGTACTTATTTGCTCGTATCGACAGAAGAAGTTACGGTCGAAGGCTATTTCGAGCCTTGTCGCAATAACTATTTGTGTAGAACGCTAACATCCATTTCTTTCCTAATTGACCCGTCAACAATATTAATAGTTACGCAAACAAAGGACGATTTAGTTTTAACGCATACGAAAGAAGACAGACAAATTAGTATCAAATATCCTACTAGTCAAGAGATAATTACAAGCACTAAACGTTTGAAAGTATTCTGGACACAGCGAAAGCTCGTACGAGTCGTAGTTAACGATACAAAAATGCTGATTTCTCTGGTCGATTCGGAAATGTTTCTTGGAGTTTTCGTGCCCCAGATTGGCAAGAAAATGTGTGGAATTCTGGGAAATAATGATGGAAATCAGGGTAATGATATAAGCATGACACAAATAAAGAATATATCTCTATCGGGCGAGTTGTTTTCGCTGAAAGAAATAGGAAGATTCGTAAAGAACAGCTTCAAAATTCATCTTAATAAGGATATAACCAATTCCGGTTACAAGGTGATATTCTCCGACAATTTTGCACAGACATCAGACTTGCTCTTAACCAATCTTCCGAGACTAACCATAGGATTCTGGATTCAATTTAAAACAAAACTAACTGCAGATGTTTCATTTATCAATTTCTCTACGAATAAAGGAGATATTAAATTAGGTATTTCGAAAGGCTTCCTTTCTATTAAGCATTTTAATGCAATTCACTACAGTGACATAAGCATAGAACTGGACAGCTGGTTGTATATAGTATTCGTTTGGCACAAGGAAGATACAGATACAATTGTGTACTTATTTTCACAATCAAGTTTGCAATACTTTCAATACAAAAACGAACACATCGATTCGGCATTAGATCTCACTCGGATCAAAATAAGCTCATATCAAATCTCATTCGAATTCGATTACCTTAGACTCTGGAATAGCAGCCACTCCTTACGTGATATCTACAAACAATACAATATCTACACAGACAAATTCTCTAGCGGACAAGTACTTCATATTATGTTCGATGAGGGAGAAGGCACATCATCTTACGCCCACAGTATATCGACCGCACCAGTTGGTAGACATGTCAAAAGCAATTTAACTTTCAGCCCAGACACAGCGCTTCCGGAATGGAAACCGTCCGACTTGCCAGTTCTTGAAGAATATGAAGCGCCAGACTTGAGAATTTATTCGCTGGAAAAAACGATTGCAAAGACCTGCCTTGATGTTTTGGGCGACCCTGTTTTTGAAAACCACTGCAGACCGCTTCTGAAGAGTAAAGAGTTCTTCGTCGAAAACTGCATCAGGATGTCTCAATTGGGAATGCCGACCAGAAACATTACCAGAACCCTTTACGCCTTCTACTGCAAAGAACGACTGGATATTGACGGCTGCTCGTTTAAAGGATTTCTGGACTTTTGTAACGAGGAAGCGACACAACTTAGCATAGCGATAATCATTATCATCGTATTTTCTATCGTGGTTCTACTCGGTATCGTCATCTACTGTATTATACGTAAGACTGGCAAGGCTAAGCATTCGAGTTGTTGTGCTTGTTGTACCGGAGTAGGAAAATCCGAGGATGATTCTTCTTCCAATAGTGATCTAACCATGTCAATTAATGTCAGAAACCCAATGTGGGATCTCCGCAACAGTTTATTCGAAGATGAAAGCGTCATGGCAACTGGATATGCTGCCGGATTAGAGCATTCCGACTATGAAAACCAACCGGATTATGCTTACGATAATCCAGTTTGGGAAGAAACTGACGAAGTAGTGAATTTCCCATCGAAGCCCTCCGAGATGACTATTCTGTGATTTGGACAAATTAGATTTATTACTAACAGTATCATTTTTTTTTTTTTAATTTTCCTGAACGAAATAACTGTGGCTAAATGACTGTATTTTAGTTCAATGTGTTTGCTCTTTTTTACGTATATCTATGTGAAAATTTCTCCGATTAACCAGTAGAGAAGACAATATTTATGAATAAAAATGACTATCAAAGCAAAATACATTGGACGAAACGCGTCAGCAATTACTAGTTTTCCTATTGTCATTTTTATTCATAAGTATATCTATGTATATATTAATTACAGTCACAGCCTAAATCTGACGTAGATAAGCCTTCTTACCAAATGGTTAGTGTCATACTTTCATAATATCAAATTTTGTAAAACTATTTCCCCAAAATAATACTTTTTAGATTATAGTATTAAAAAAATAAACTTTTGTCGGTTTATTTCTTTACATAAAGAATTTTCCTTGTTGTATTTCATTTTTTTTAACAGAAACACAATTAATATATCTTATTTTTAATTTAACAATATTTGTTACGCTTAAAATAAAAACTGAAAAGCTTCTTTTCTTTTATCTGCCCAACTTATTTTGTATTTTATATTCTCCTCAATTAGCAATGAAGAAACCTTATTTTTTACAGTTGGTATATTTCGGTCTGCGATTCAAAACAACGATGTTCTTTTTAACTGTGAGATAATGTGAGACGATCGAAGTGTTCTTAAAATTTCATGAACTAGTAAACAAAATTAGAATTTTCAACACAGATAAAAGTCACTCAGAGCCACAAATGTTCATAGTGATTAACCGTCTGTAGGGTTATGACACGAAAACACATACTTCCGGCGTGGTTGAACCGTAATAGGTAATATTTTCATCATAAGTTTGTTGAAGGCAATGCGTAAAGTCGGTGGCTGGCTGGGTAATGTTTCTTCAAGTAATATATTTACACCAGAATTATGTTTGTTGGTTTCCGTTGTTTGCCATAAAATGTTTTCTATTATACAGTGTTATGAAATTATTTTTTTTTTTTTTATTCTGCTTCATTTGAAAAAACAGTTTTTTTTTTATACTTTCTGAATTTTTCTCTTACAATATTTTAAGTGTTATTAAAAATAAAATTGTTTTCATTTATTTTACTACGTTTTTATATATAAACTATTTTTCACGTGCATTGAAGTCGTGTTTTCTGAACAAATAAAGGTTTTCTTTCTTTTCTATTTTTATCTACTTTTTGATATCATTTTCAAGCGTTTCTCACTCACTTAACCAACTGTTCGTTTCCTTGCCTCTCTCTCTCTCTCTCTCATATTCTTATCCTCCTTCCAACGAAAGACTGTCGTTGATGAGTTCCAGCGATGGTCCACCATTTCCGACCAATGGATTACATAAGATATGACTCATCATAAGGCAGGCTGCACTGCTCAAAAGATTAAAGCTAATCTTAGCCATTTTCACTAATTGGGACCATTCGCGTAAATATCTGCCTTAGAAATCGATATATATATATATATATATTCCCCCCCCCCCACACTTTGGAGAAAATATTTTTTCTAGGGTTAAGAATTGGTAAAATATCACTGATAACAATGGTTTGTTTCTAAATTATCAATTTGACTATACGAAACATATTTTATAAAAATATAAAATATATTTATTCTCCAGGGAAAAATTTTGTTTATTTTAGTTTCCTTTTCTTTTTTTTTTTTTTTTTAAGCAAAAGATGGTTGCAAGTATGATCCTCCTTGGTGAAAATTACCAGTGGATTAAAAACTGATAATGTTACCGGCAAAATTTATACAAAAAAAAAAAACAAAAAACAAAAAAAAAAAACCCCACAACATTGTAAGTAATCCTTGTACAAACTTGCATGCACGACACTATTAGGGGAGGGGCAGATCGAAGCCTATACATTTTTGCTGTAATTAAAACTAAACAGAATAAATGTCTTCTTGACAACAATCTATGACAATGTTATTGAGGTGACGCCATTAATTAGGTACTACCAAAGAAATGGTGCTTACGGCCATATCTTATTGAAACATTGGTTCCCATACGATCACTGAAATTAACTAACATTGAATCCGATTAGTACTTAGATGGGTGACCACTTGGGAATACCAGGTGCTGCAAGTTTAGATGTGCGGGTGAGGAAAATGGATAATGGCTAGGAATTTTTAATATGGATAATGGCTAGGAATTATTAATTGGAGAGCCGAGTTCCAATTTCCGTTGGGATCGCTATATTCACTTACGTACAAAGTATGAATCCACCTCCTCCCCAGCTATGGGTTAATTAGTAAGACTTTTTCTTACAATCTATCTTCTGGATTTAAATAACTTGCAAATCTGTTAAACTTTAGAAAATCAAAAGAACACGATAACTAAGGTTTGAAATGTATTTTCAAAATGAAAATTCTTGAAGTTTTTATTTAATCTATTAGATAGAAATCAAAAATAAAATTTAGTATTTCCAATAAACAAGATACCTTGCCATATTCCAAACTGAAGTTAAATTAATTGGAATAATTTTTCTGATTATCGATAAAATCATCCATGTTTACAAATCTGTCAACACAACATAATTCTGTCTTAAAAAAACTCTTTCAAAAATGAAATGAAATATTATTTACTTTTAGCTTAAAACATCACAGAAAAGCATTTTTTAACATTAAAGTGGTGTTTTTGAGAAGGTGACACACTCATCGACAACCTGACGTCTGGGAAATTTATTTACGGAGAAAACCCTAATAAGATTACATAATGAATACAACATAAAAATATATATCGAAAAAGGCGTTTAACTAGGCACCTCCACGAAATCGCTAAAAAAAAAAAAAAAAAAAGCTTAGCTTGATGAAAAAGACACCAACCTTGCCGAAAACAAATTTTTATCGTCTAAATGCTTATGTTATTATTAAGAGGAAAGACCAAAGTTTTGGTTTTTTTTTTAATTATTTTAAAAAATTTTTCCTTCTTTTTAGAACATTCTAAATTTTGATTTTAAAAAAAAAAAAAAAAAAAAAAAACCTTGTTTCTCTTTGTATCAGCGGAGCTAGTAAATAACAATTTTTAGCACGTTTTTTTGGTATGACACATTAATTTGGAAAATGTTGCAAAAATATAAATAATTGTCGGATGTTAATGAAAGTTTCAGAAACTATTCACAGATGATCGAAATTATTATAAATATGTTGTTTTTTTTTATTAAAGTCATGGCAGAAATATTTTTTTTAATATTTATTACCCACCCCATAACTAATTTTATGAAAACGCTAGAAATTCGATCGCATCGGGTTTAGTGATTACAATAGTTAAAAGCACTAGGGGGGGGGTCGTTTATGATCAGTACATACAGTTTAAATTTAATAATATCACTTGACTGATACAGAATTTTAAAAGGTTATTATTGGAATATAATTTTAAAAAATGAAAACACTTCTTGTACAAATTCATTATTGATCAAAAAATATTTTCGTAAGACAAGTGTCAATAATATTTATTTTTTATTCATGAAAACAATTAAAAGCTGATTTTTATTGCATTTTTATTTTACCTTTCAGAAAAAATTTTCTGTAATTAAGGATCCTGTTTAACCTGTAAACAAATTTATGTTCTCAATTTTCTAAGTACTTGTCTTTATAATTAATATAAACATTAACCACTACAAAAAAGAATTTCGAGGAATTTCATAAAATTAAATAACTAGGGTGTTAACAATTTTTAAAAAATTACGAGGACATTTTTTAAAAATGTTTCAGAATAATTTCATTCATTTCTAAGTTCTGAAAGTTTCATTAAAATCTGACATCTGATTTTTGCAAGAATTCCTAAATAAATGTTTTTCACCGCAAAATGACACGCAAATTCCCCATACAGATTTATGGTCCTACGTTAAGGTTAGAAAAAAAACAGCTTTTAACCAAAATTTCGAAAGTTCTAAAAAGGATTAAAAATTATCCTTTTTTTTTTCTTTTTTTTTTACACATCAAGAAATCCTTTGGTCTTTCTTCTTAATAATAACACAAAGATACTGACGATAAAACTAATTTTTTTTATGATAAAAGTTTCGGCCTATTTTCATCATGGTTGCTCCTTTTTTTATCCAGTCTTTGGAAGCGCCTACCATTAATTTTCAAAAGAAGTTATAAAACTTCATTTTCCATTTTTTTTTTCGAAATATCAGCTTCTAAAAAACACTAAATTTTATATAATAAAACAGTGAAGCAAAAAAAGATTTGTATTTAAAAACAAATTAGAATATGTTTACAGTAGAATAATAGATCTAAATAAAATTCATTTTATGAGATGACCATATATATATATATATATATATATATATCTCAGAAATTTATTATTGTCGTTTTTGTTATCATAACTATTTTTATGATAAATGGACTGAAAATGCAGTACTAGATCAGTGACGGTCAATAAATTACAGATCTGTAAAAACAAAATATAGCGCTGTTCTGTGAATAAGGGAATATCAACTATGGGCGTCGTTATTGTTGCCTTGTAATACACTAAGTCTTGATAAATAGTGACCCTCTCGTTGGTAGCAATCAGCGCTTCTTTAACCAGAGACAATATCACTAATGTCGAGACTGCCTTCAGCTTCAACCCTCCAAGTGACTCTTGTCATAACAAAGAGAGGCAGATATAAATCTGCAAAATTTTGGAATTGGTCCGATTCCAAATGGAATGTAATTATTCATTAAGTCTTTAAGCTGACCATTTGCAGACATTACGAGAGACGTATATACCTAGACAGTCACGGACGGTGACGAGACGTACATATACTGAGTAACAGAGCAAAGATATATACTTAAGAATTGGCTGATAGATTGATCGCTCAATTTAGCCGTGATGGAAACGGCATCATTAGAATTCCACTGATTCATAAATAATAGACAGAAGTTCATTTAGAAAAGTGTTTCAGAACAACACAAGGAAATAAAATCATATATCCACGTTATCCGAGATTTGAACTAGAAGAAAGATATTGTTGATCAGGGTGCGCAATACTAATATTGCTCGGGATATATATATATATATAGCTAGCTAATATTAGTGGTAAATATACACATACATATGCAAAATATATAACTATATATATACATGGGTGCATACACATACATGTATATTTTTTTGAATAAAAAATTCCAAGAGGATAGAATCCAGGTAGAACTCAATGTCCAGGACAGAGTAAGGATATAATAAAAAGGCTTAAACACTAATATTCCAAGGTCATAATTTATTCCATTGGAACCGTAAATATTTACGATTCCAATGGAATAAATTATGACCATGGAATATTAGTGTTTAAGCCTTTTTTTATATATATATATATATATATATATATATATATATTATATGAAAATTTCTCCGATTTAACCAGTAGAAGACAATATTTATGAATAAAAATGACAATAGGAAAACTGGTAATTGCTGACGCGTTTCGTCCAATGTGGACTTTATCAAAGCAAAATACGAAAATTCTGCTTTGTATTTTGCTTTGATAAAGTCCACATTAAACTTAATAAACCGTGCAAAATACGAATTTTCGTATTTTGCTTTGATAAAGTCCACATTGGACGAAACGCGTCAGCAATTACCAGTTTTCCTATTGTCATTTTTATTCATAAAATATATATATATATATATATATATATATATACACAAGTGGGCACTTCGACGTGGTATATTGTCTCACTAGATCACTTAAGACTAAGTAATAAGTTTGTTCCTGACTAGGCACCCCATACTTTCGGCCTTGTGCCACAGCTAAGCTGTGATTATAAAAATCACCATATAATGTGTGTGTGTGTAAAAATTTTACGTCTTTAATATGAATAAAGACAAAAGAAAAACCTTTCCTTTTCGCATTTGCCTTAAAGTCCCTCAGAGTACGAAACATCTCGGCTAAGTTTTTTCTTTCTATATATGGCTGGCTTCACGTATCCGAGTATACTTGTCTACTAGGACTCTAAGCCAATCCATGTTGCAGACGCCTGCTCAGGCACATTTGTGTTTGTTCAACACCCACAGAGCCCACCTATGTTTTATACTGCAGTTATGCCGAGTGGACCTATGTTACAGTTTCTGGGTGAGAGTCCGAATTATCTAAAATTATTATTTTATTACATAAAAACAATAATGTGTTTTCAAATAATATCCATTTAATCTGTAAGTGTGTGCATGAGTGTCCCTTTAAATGCTGAAAAAAATCGATTAACCAATTAAAATGGAAAATCAACAAACTTATCGCAGCCAGTAACGCAGGACTGGATAGCTTGAAATTGCCAAAAATAATTGGAACCTATAAACCAGTATATATGTTTGGAACTGTAAAAATACATAAATCTAACTTCCCTCTGCGACCTATCATATCCCAAATCCCCACCCCTGTTTAACAGCTAACCAAAGCACTTAAACTAATTATACCTTACGTTCCAAATAAATACAGCAAAAAGTCAACACACGAACTATTCCAAGTTCTGAAAACTAAAAAGAAAAAAATAAGCTTTAATCTCACTCAACGTCCCAGTTAATAATATAATAAATATAATCTTAAACAATATCTACAATAATCCATCTTTCCCTCCATTAAAAATTCGACCTTCTATTTTTAAAAAAATACTCTTGATGTGCACCACAGAAGTTATTTTTTATAACCACAAAAACAGCATATGCATACGATGTGATGGTGTCTTTATGTACTTCATACGACAAAAGTAAAACATTTAGCTAAAGTATGTAGCTGACATTCTCATTTTAGTCACAGACTTAGATGAAACACATGAACTTACAAGAAAACTTTAAAAAAATACCCTGTACTTAAGTTCACATGAACTTAACAAAGACAAAAAAATCCCATTCCTGGGGGTAAGAATAATAATACATTTACTACCTCTTGTTATATAAAAAAACAACTAGTATAAACACATATGATCTCAGCTATAAAAGTATTACAAAATAGCTGTTATACTAAACTTAATAAACCGTGCAAAATCAAATTCTGCAACAAAAATAATTTCTACATTGAATTAAAAATTATTAAACAAACCCTCATTAATAATGACCTCTCTAATTGCATTGTTGATTAAAAAAAATAGACACGCTATTAGGAATATT